TTTCCCGAGAAAGAAATGGTATGTTTTGCCTAAAGATTACAGTCTAATAGCGTTTTATGGGGTAGAAAAGATAGCATTTTAAAATTAAGCTGATCAATTGAAAGCTGAACGTTCGACAGTCATTTTCAAAACTAGGTGACCTCTAGAAAGAAAATTAGTGAGAAGAATCAATAAACGTAGGTCTATGCAAAGGTTGACAAAAATTGGCTGGAGTCGAACTTCTCCATGTGATAGAATTCAATGATTTGGATATCAATGAAAGCATTCTTTGGTGAATGATAATGTTTTAAATTTGGTTGACTGTTGTTGTAGCAAAATAGTCAAATAAATTAGTATAAAACTTCTAACTACCGTTACCAGTTTTCCCTTTAGCCCAATTTTAGTCTGATTTTTTGAGGCTTGTGATTTGCAGATTGAATTTGACTAAAATTAAGCTGATCAATTGAAAGTTAGCAGTTTGAAGACATTAATTTTCAAAAAAAGAGGACATCTAGAAAAGAAATTAGTGAGAGAAGACTCTAGTACAAGAAGAAGTACAAGTACAAGCTACGAAGCTAAAGAATGGATAAAAGTAAGTTTATGCAAAGGTTGACAAAGATTGGATGGAGTCGAACTTCTCCAGGGAATAGAATTCAATGATCTGGATACCAATGAAAGCATTCTTTGGTGAATGATAATGTTTTAAATTCGATTGACTGTTTTTGTAGCAAAATAGTCAAATAAATTGGCGTAAAGCTTCTAATATACCTACATGTGCGTCGATTCTTCAAATACCATCGAGTACCAAGATAATCACCGGATTTCTTTTGTTTTACAAAACTCGTAAACGCTTCTTGGCTTAATCAAATTTGTTTTAGTTACAAAGAAGAAGTTTTCCTTGTCATTCTGCACTTGTAATTTCTTCTTTTAATTTTTTATTTCAAAACACCAACGATCCCAAAAACATCATAGTGGACGGAAAAGTATAAAAAAGATCCAACTCTATAAGATCCAACAAACGCTTGTGCAGTAGTGTGCCCAGTTTCATTCAAAGATTTTATACGCATTTTCGTTCCCAATACTAAGCTGAAACTTGTTTCAGTTTTAATCGTCTATATTTTAAAGTTAATAAATCTTAAAATATCTCTTATACAAACTCTATAAGATCTTATACAAATAAAATAAACTCTCTTACACAAATTGCTTTTTAAATTTGCTTTAAATTTTAAATTAAAATTGCTCTAAAAACCTTGGATTTTACCTTGTAAAAAGAATAAAGTCAAAATCTACTGGTTTTCCATTGGATTTTTTTTGCTATTATTTCAATTGTTTTTTGACGTCAGTAATGGAATATAGAAAAAGACAGGTGTTATTTTAAAGCAAAATGTCTGGAATGACTTGTGATAGAAAAAAGGAAAGCTTTCTAATGAGAAAAAGGAAGAGATTATTGCATTGTCACAGATTAAAGTTTGAGTCTAGACTTTGAAATTCCCATTGTATTGGATGGAGGATTGGAGGAAAACAAATGAAAGACCTGGGGATTGTTCGGGTTTTGTTCAAGCTCAGGTTCATTTTTCGTTCGATTAAAGTTAGAGAAATAAAGACGACAAATTAATATGCAAATTATCAATATAATAATTTTACATGCGTTTATTTCTTTCTGAATAAAGTATTTAATAAATGATTTATCTATAAATGAATAAATTCACCCTGCGAAAACTAACGAAAAGCCATTTTTCGAAAAAGCCAAGGCCAAACCGATTCTGAAATGAGTGGTCATAGATCTCTCCTGATTGCAAATTCTTTCCATCATTCTTGGCCACGTTCCTCGGGGTCGAGATGCGACTGGTCGAAGCTCGCAAGCACGCTTCGTTGCATAGAAAAGACATCGATGGGAATGTCTTTTACGTCAAAAATGTCAATTTTAATGTGTTTCATTGTTTCATTTGAATTCGAACGATTTTAATGTTTTTCAGCTATCCTTTCAGCTTCAAGCTATCCAAGCAATGTTCTTTAAAGCTTAAACGCAAGCTTTCTGGCACATCTGCACCAAAATAATTCGTTTGACATCAAAAGGAAATGAACTTTTGTTAGAACGTGAAAATCGTGGATATCGTGGAAATTTTTACCCCAAAAAGCCGGTAATTTAGTTGCCAAGATGAACCGCTGCATTGAACCGCTGAAAATCGTGTGTTCACTGTGTTCAAATTTTCATAACATTTCTTGATTCTGTAGAAAATAGGCCTTTCTAATGCAGCAAGTATTAGATTAATTGATATTGGGTTGATGGAAAAGTTCTTTCCGAAATTTTGGGAGTGTACCTTAAATTTGCGAAGTTTTGACGTTTTATAGCTTATGCTAAAGTTTTGACGTTTTATATCAATATATGACGTTTTATATCAATATATGAATCAATACAGATCGATGGGTACAAAATTTGTCTTGAGTTATCTCTTTTCTAAAAGCTGTCAGAGCATGCCCCAGCCGAGTGTCCAATATGTATTTGGCTTGAATCATTTATAGATAAATATTTATATAAATACTTTATTCAGAAGAAATAAAGTGCGAAAACGCATTAATAAAATCTATTATATTAGATAAGTTGCATATTAATTTGTCTTCTTTATTTCTCTAACTTTAATCGAAGGAAAATATCCAATCGATTGGCCTTGTATCAGAGCGGTTGATTTGTGTAATGGAAATCGAGATTGTCCAAATGGTGAAGATGAGGAACCGGACATGTGCATGTTTCATTCTTTGGTTCGTTTTATTTAATGCTAGAACTTTAAACGAATGTCTGTAATGGTAGTCCAGTTAAAAGCCTTTCCTGGTGTTGGAATCCAGTTAAAAGCCTTTAAAGGGAAGATTTATCCATTTAAATTTGTATTTTTATGATTCAAATATTTAGCTTTAAAGTAAAGAGATTTCATCGAGCTTTCAAGCTTTTAAACTTTCAAAACAAACATAAAAATCTCAATTTTCAGAATCAAGGATCATTGCGTCAATTGCAGCTGGACTTTTTGAGATTCAGTGAACACCCTCTGAATTCGTGAAAATGAAGTCTGAGCCATATACGGCTGAGTTTGAAGGTAAAACAACAACGACAATAATGATCAATGATTGACAGATTATCAACAAATCTATAAAAAGCCCAACAAAATTATTAAAACCCTAGGGTTTAAGTTAGGTTAAGCTAAGACTCGGCTGCACCAGGAAGAGACAAGTAGCTCAAAGCAGAGCTGGATGGGTCAAGCTAGATCCAGGGCCTGGCTCTAGCTTTGTCTGGTTTACAGGGAAAATCCAGTTAAAAGCCTTTCCTGGTGTTAGAATCCAGTTAGAAACCGTTCTTTGTTAGAATCCAGTTAAATCATTCACTTTAGATAAACTCCAGCTAAACTATCAAAATTTAAAACATTTACAGAATTCGACTAACGTTTGGAATGGTCTCCTTTTTCACCTCGAATTACTCCAAATCGGCTCTCTTACTAGAATTCATAGAATTGTTGTCGAATTTTCTTTCTCTCTGCACAAAAAGATTTTTGGAATTGTCGCTTTCTTTCTTTTTATTGATTCATCACTTTCTCGCTGAACCAATGCAAATGTTAATCATTCCTTGTCCGAATACGAAACATATATAAAAGAACTTCAGAAATGGACTAGAAACGTGTGGTTTTTCGAGCACAAAATATACTTGAAGAACACAAACTTTTTGAAACAACTTTTGACTTTAAAACAAGAATTGAGTCTATTTTGACTATTTTGTCATTCTTGCTAGCTTAAGTAAGCTAGAAAAAAAAATTTTATTTTCGAAATCTCGAAAGACGACGAGACTTAAATGTCAGCTGCTTGTTAGGCGTGTCAACCTTAGGTGTGACAGCTGCTTGTTAGCTATGTCAGCTGCTTGTTAGGCGTTAAATCTTTTCATGTAGGGGCTCCTATATCTTTGTTGGTGTGCTGTGGCCAGATATCTTTGTCAAAGCAATTTATATTATCAAAGTCATTATAAAGGTATCATGGTAAGCTTTCTGAGTGGTTTGCTCCCAATAAAAATTAACAAATTCAACAGACAAACAGAAATGGAAACCAGCTCCAAATTTTGGAATTCGAAGCCCTCAACATTGAAATTTTAGCCTCAGCTTTTGAAATTTTCCATTTTGCTACAAACACTTGAAGTAGCGTCACCCAATCTCGTTCAAACTTACCTAATAAAATATTTGTTCAATGGTGTTTTTGACACCCCGGGACGATCACCACAAAGCAGGTGTAATGGAGTACATCGCAAGCACCATCTCTACCGAAGACTCTTTACGGATCCAAAGTACGGCTAAAAAGTTCTCTTTGTAGGTCAAAATCATGTCCGAAAGTTGCATATAAAAATGGCTTTATTTTGTCATAAGCTAGATCTTCTATCTTAACATTTCTCTTTCAGTTTCTACGGCATCGGCGGGCTCTCGGAGGAGTCAGTTTGTCACTACTTGACGACGACCGTCGACGAAAGTTATTGCTGATCTATTGGAAAGCAAATGTATCACATGTGGATGAGCCTATACCATTTCTACAATATAAGTTGGAGTATCTTGCATTTTTGTATTGAAAGTTTAGATGAGGAACATCACGGACAAGCTGAACCAAGATAAGGGACGCTTGCGATTAAGAAGTATTAAAATTTGATAATTTGATTTGCCTCTGCGTCACCTGCTTTCCTTCAGCAATGCCAGACACGAGAGCTATATCATCTCTATGTGTACCTACTGTTTTCGTATCCTGTTTCTCATGTGTCATTTTGATAAAAAACCCGAAAAAGAAGCCAATCCAAGCACGTCACGATTGACGTCACGGAATTTCAATCTTTCACTTTATTCCAAGCACTCCTTTCACTAATCTTTTCCAAACGATTCTGCAATCGACTTCCTTTTACTTACTAAAAATTTTAGAGATTTCTTCGATTCGTTTCTTATCAGTATATTTTTGAAAAGAAAAGGAAGACAAAGAAAAGAGAAATTAACGAGCGAACACAAAGAATGGAACCACAACATCTCGGTCTAGCAATGATACATCAACACGATCAGGTGAGAAGAATATATTTGTTAACAAACAAATCATATACCTTTATCTAACTTTATGTCTACCACTACCAGCTAGCTGCTTACAGTTTGTTTCCGGGAGAGCCTTTGTGACGAGATTTACTAGTATAAAAAATCAAGAATTTATTAAGAACGCTTCTGATATCCTGGTCTGCGTCTGGTTTAATTTAAATCAGCCTACAAGAGTTAGAAGATTTCTTATGCTCTGCTCAATGAAAACACAGCAGGAACGAAACGACTTGACTTGGGTGCTTTTTGAAAATCTGTTATTGTCTCCAAACTCGTTAAAGATTGGCCCGATTCGCCAAATTCGTCCAGGTCTCCGCCTCGATTCGGTCGATGATCGTCCAATTCCGCTACATCTCGGGGTAATAAAGCTTTTCCTGAATTCATAAATTCCCGATTTTTCCTGTGATAAAGCAAAATTCCCTTTCAGAGGTACGAAGTGGGACAACGAATGCAATAATCTCTTCCTTTTTCTACTTAGAAAGCTTAGAAAGTCATTCCAGACATTTTGCTTTAAAATAACACCTGTCTTTTTCTATACTTTCTATTACTGATGTCAAAAAACAATTGAAATTAATTAAAAATCCAATTTTTAATTAGCTTAGCAAAAAAAATCCAATCGAAAACCAGTAGATTTTGGCTTTATTCTTTTTACAAGGTAAAATCCAAGGTTTTTAGAGCAATTTTAATTTAAAATTTAAAGCAAATTTAAAAAGCAATTTGTATAAGAGAGTTTATTTTATTTGTATAAGATCTTATAGAGTTTGTATAAGAGATATTTTAAGATTTATTAACTTTAAAATATAGACGATTAAAATTGACAGCTTAGTATTGGGAACGAAAATGCGTATCAAGTCTTTGAATGAAACTGGACACACTTATGTACAAGCGTTTGTTGGATGTTTAACTGGCAAGCGGAGTTCTTCATGAATAGTCCATATTGTGATTGGCGTGCATCGATACGGTGTTCGGGTCGGGACTGAAAATTGAGGAATTCAGATAGGGTAGAATTTAAATATCAGATATCTTCTAAACAGCTTGACACTTGCCCCCAAGTGCCCTGGAAACAACTTCTAAACATGCTGTATAAACATAGCGTAAGAAATATTCGGCTACAGGGTTTCGGACTACAGTACTCTAAGGCTTAAAATTGGGCTAAAGGGAAAACTGGTAACGGTAGTTAGAAGTTTTATACTAATTTATTTGACTATTTTGCTACAACAACAGTCAACCAAATTTAAACATTATCATTCACCAAATAATGCTTTCATTGATATCCAAATCATTGAATTCTATTGATTTTAAATTATTAAATTAAAATTAAATTTTATTATTTTTGCAGGGCTTCGCATCACATCCATTGGCTGGCCTACTTGGGCGTCTCAATTGCCACAGGCGATTTGGAGAAAGCTGCGAAATTCTACAAAGATCATGACGCGAAAGTCAGCGAGACTGTGGTATATTTCATTTTATTTCATTTCAACCTCCACAAATTGTTTAGCCACTACCAGAACATGGGGTCTACACGGTTTTGAGCTGCCGCCCGACCCAAAACTTGAACTTTTGTTGCCGCGGGGTGATAAGAGACCTATTCAGGTTGGCTGACTCCAAAAGTCAACGCTATTTTTTCTTTAGGATTTCTTGAACAAGAATAAGAGTGGTGGTATGCATCACATCTGCATCGGTTAAAGACAAAGCACTGAAAAGTGTCAAGTAAGTACAATACTTTGTTGTTTAGCTTTCAAGAAATGTTAAACTTTTATTGCTCTTTGGAACGTTCAGAATCATCTGTCGAGATTTCGAGATTCAATTTTTTGAATTTTAGACCTCTTGGAATTCGTACCCTCGATGAGAAGTCAAAAATCGGCGCCCACAACAAACCAGTCGTTTTTCTTCATCCAAAAGATTGTGGCGGAGTGCTGGTCGAATTGGAGCAGGAATAATTTTTATAACTAGTTTATTACCTTTTCTAGGAGAACTTTTTGTTTAAGTTTGGTGTACTTACTTGTGATTTTGACGGTACGGTGAGCTTGCCTTGCATTTTTGCTTTGAACATAGATTTTTATTTTCAGATAAATGGTTTTATACGTAGTTTTTGACATATTGAATTTGTTGTTGAACTGCACATAGCTTTATTAATATGAAAACGACAAGAAATTTATTATACGGAAATTCTTTAGTCGAAATTTGTATGAGCTGTGAAATATGGAATTTAAGCAACTAAAGCCAACTCCAGAGATAGTTTAAGCAACTCTAAACCCCTAGTTTCTGTAAACTTTTGTATAAGCTCTGTTACCGCACTGGGGTCGATTTTTAGCTATTTTCCGAGTCAGACCGATCCGCAGTTATATCATAAATTATCGTATCGCAGTTAATTAAGATAACGTACCATTGAAACAAACTGTGAAATATGCCACTAATATTCACGTTCAAATAAAAATTCTCTACAAATGCATTTGCATTATTTGTTTATAAGAACAAAAAATACCTATTTTCTGTAATATTATGCGCAATAATATATTAGTCAACATTGAAATTTTAGCCTCAGTTTTTGAAATTTTTTATTTCCTACAAACACTTGAAGTACTCCGTCCCAATCTCGTTCAAACTTACTAATAAAATATTTGTTCAATGGTGTTTTTTGGCACCCCGGGACGATCACCACAAAGCAGAGTGTAATGGAGTACATCGCAGGCACCTATCTCTACCGAAGACTCTTCGCGAATCCAAAGTACGGCTAAAAAGTTCTCTTTGTAGGTCAAAATCATGTCCGAAAGTTGCATATAAAATGGCTTTATCTTAACATTTCTCTTCTATCTTAACATTTCTCTTTCAGTTTCTACGGCATCGGCGAGCTCTCGGAGGAGTCAGTTTGTCACTATTTGACGACGACCGTCGACCAAGTTATTGCTGATCTATTGGAAAGCAAATGTATCGATTGGATGAGCTATGTGCCGCGTTCTGTACAACATTTCTACAACATAAGTTGGAGTATCTTGGATTTTTGATTGAAGTTTAGATGAGGAACATCACGGACAAGCTGAACCAAGATAAGGGACGATTGCGATTAAGAAGTATTAAAATTTGATAATTTCTGTGATAACTCCAACTTTGAGCTCAAATATCTTAATATCTTAATAAAAGTATCTTAATAAAAATAGAAATTCTGACAGCACCGAAAAAATTCGCCTGTCTGGAAAAAGATATTACACTTCATTTGCTAAACTCGAAGCTACAAGACCCTTGTGCATGACGTGTTCTTTTAAGGTGCATTCTATTCGATACTCCATCCCTTTGCACCCCAACTTTGAGCTCAAATATCTTAATG